ATTTTAAACGTTCAGTTTGTATGACAGCTATAGGCTATAGCGGTACGATCCCGAAAACTTGTTCGCATATTGTAGCGGTGCTTTGGAAAGTAATTTATGCCAAATTTCGTGAAGTTATATTGTCAAAAGAAAAATTTTCCATACAAGTACATGATTTTGATCATTCAGTTTGTATGACAGCTATATGCTAGAGTGGTGCGATCTAGAAAATTTGTTCGCATATTGTAGCGTTGTCTTGGGAAATATAGTATGCCAAATTCCATGAGAATACCTTGTCAAATAAAAAAGTTTTCCATATAATGGCATGATTGTCAAAGCTCAGTTTGTATGGCAGCTATATGCTTTTGTTCTCCAAAATCGGTGGTTCCGACAAATGAGCTGCCGCTTGGGAAGGAAAGGGAGTGTGAAAAATTTCAGAACGATATCTCAAAAACAAAGGGACTACTTCGCGTATATACAGAAGGTCAGACACGGATGCTAAAACGACTCAGCTCGTCATGCTTATCATATATACACATATAGTATATATGTTTTGTAGTGTATGCGCCTTTCCTTCTGAGTATTACAAACTTCCTAGCAACTTAATTTACCCCATACAGGGTAAAAAACAATAAGCAAAMTTTACTCACATGTCCCATACGCAACGGTGTAATTACAAGCTCCTTCTCCTTGGCGTCATATTCCACACTTACAACGTTTTGGTCATATAACTCAAAATCGTAGAATCCACTGCCCTGAGTAATTGGTATGCGTTCGCGGCGATTCTTGGCCATAAAAATGCTCACATGATCGCTGGGGAAAAGTGTGCTGTTCACAGCCATAAAGCGTATTTCGTTCTCGATAACTGGTGTATACAGCTCACCTGTCTTGGACTATAGAATAAAAATTACAATTCACAATAAAAAATATAAAAAATAATTGTGCTACAAAAACCTTAGAACTTACATTCTTCACAGCGAAATTTGGTTCTTCCGGATAAATGTTATGTTTTTTCAGTACCGTTGCATCATAACGCGTTACTATGCCTTTGATACGGAAATTTTGTGCCACATTCGCTATGGTGGTGATGAGCACATCACGTGCGGGCAAGCGCACACTCTCATACAACTCTTCTTCTGTACGACGATAATGCATTATGGCATCCTTTTGGTAGCGTTCGTCGCCGGCGTTGAATTCCCAGTCAATAAACAACGAAGTGATATTCATCAATTTKCGATTTTTCGAATCTTGCACTTCAATTTCGATTTCGAACTTGTCATCGCGTTCTTTTATGTGCAATAATGAATTTTTCACCTCCATTGGACACGAAGTACGCAACTGCTCGGTAGCATAGAGATTGAGGAAACGTGGCTTTACACAGTGTATTGTGGTGACAAAGTTCGAAATATACGGTTGGAAATTGGAGTTGCTCAAAGCGTTGTGTATATTGAAACTTAATGTGGTTTTGCCAATCTTGAGGCACATCACATTAAAGACATGCATGGGCTCTTGTGTGGCGTAGTTCATTTCGCTAACCTGAGCAACGGCACTATCGTATTCCACCGATTTGGTTAACTCACTTTCTAAAGTAAACAATTTTTGTGGACCATTCTCATAGATTACGTTACGCGACGCACCAATTGGYAATACGACTTCATTAGCGCTTGGATTTAATACTGCAAGTGGTTCGAACACACTTAATGTCACTTCATCTTTGAGCACACGATCTTGGAACTTGTAAGATATGCGCAAATTAGTTAAGCCAACAGCAGTACTGCGTAGATGCACAACTTGGCAGGCGTCATTGAACATTTGCGTGGTCTGCTCATTCGTGTCCACTTGGAAGATTTTGTTTGAAAACTCAAAATCGAAGACGAGATTTTCGCAACGTGTGTAGGGCACAAGCGTTTGATTTACTTTTGCATACACGGCTACATGCAGACGCACATAATCTTTTAACGCAGTTTCAAAGTTATATTGTATGATTTCCAATTTAAAGGGCGGCACGAAATATAGATCCGCTTGGCGTGTTATTTTCGGATTCTTCGAAAGTGCCACCCTAATGCTGGCATGTGTAGCGAGTGAAGTGCCTTCTTCCAGCGTGTCCGCTTGCGTACGCTTAACATCTGTGTGACGTATAACCGTGGTGGCAAGGCCGGTTTGTGAGATATGTAGAGTGCGTTGGTTTTGCGAATGCCAGGTGTATAGTCCATCGCCACCTCGTGCGTGGAATTGTATTTTTTGCACTTTGGACACATTTGGATCGAAAGGTAGCACAACTTTACTGGGTGAAAGCAGCAGTTCACTATGAATTTGCAGCTCTGCTTGGGCAGTCAGCTGTAAAAATGAACAGGGGTTAGAAATCATTTAAGTTAAAAAAAAAAAACTAAAAACACATACCTCTTTGAAGTAACCATAGACGGGCGAAATGCCCTGACGTATCGCTTCACCATATATGCGACTACCATTTCTATTTTTTTGTATTATATAAAAGAGCACCTCATCAAATTCCGATTGCATGGCATATTGTGAGCCCAATGTGATCTTTTTGTCATCGCTAAAATAATAAAATTGAAATTCAAAAATTGTTTTAAGCACAGGAAAAAATTTTAAATTCGGCAGCACCGAAGTTCACAGGTGTACTTTTATAGCATAAAAGGGTATAAAAAGATCTTTATTTTTTTATTTGGAGCATAAACCCTTTTCAGGKTATAAAAACAAACACAATTATACCGTGTGTACAAATCCAGCGCTATTTCATGCTTCTCTCCCTCTACTGTTATCCAATTGTTGTGCGGCAATAGGCTAATGCCCAAACGTACAGGCTCAGCAACCGTCACGCGAGCACTAGGTGTTGAAGCTTTTACGATTGCACTATCTAAATTACTGTTTTCCTCGTCGATAGGGGCATTACGATCACGTAAAACCACTGTTGTTGTGCCAAGCTTCAAAGCGGTTATACTGGTGCCTTTTATTGTGGCCACATTAGTATTTTCAATTTCCAGGAAATATTGATCATTTAAAGAAATCTCTTGAAGCTTGCCCTTTTTCAACTGTAGTATGCGGAAATTTATTTTATCACCAGCTAGCAGATGTACATTTGATGGCTCAAGAATGATATTAGCAAGCACATTAATATAAACTTCCATTTTTGGCACATGACTGTACTCGGGGTGTGGTATGCCTATGGTTACCTAGAAGAAATGTAATTTAAGTGACAAAGATGTTAATCACATATATTGGTGTAGCATACCTTAGCAGTGCCTGTGTTGATGCCCTCCAGCAACACCATGTAACCTTTCATACGTTGGGCCTCGAATTTTTCCAATGCCGGTGGTACCGCATGGTAAGGGCTTTCGCCAAATGTTAGGAACCTTAAAGCTGGTGCAAAATTTTTACTTCCACTACGTCCGCCCAAGGAAGAGATTACCCAGCTAAATTCAATGCCCTCCAAAGTAGTAAACTCATTGCCTTGAGAGTCTTCGGCACGCAATTCGAAGGWTTCCGGCGCTTCTTCAAGAAACAGTTGTCGGGTGGTTGTGCGCACACCCAATTTGTCGATAACATCAAGTATGACATCACAACGCAGCGATTCGCCAGTGGTAAGATCCTCTGCCAAGACAATGGCTGCATTGTGTCGACGTTCGCGTGTTAACACTGTCACTGTTGCACGATATGAGCATTCGTTTTCTACGTCTTCATATAATGGGGTAATGAGTATTAAATCTTGCCGTGATGATGTCCTAAAAAAGGTATTTGATTAATGTAAAAATTCGACGCGGAGCAGCTGTGCGCGAAATTAATGCCAGTTGAGGTTAGATTTGGCGCATTTCTGGCGCCAACTATATGAAAGAACTTAATGCAATTTACCATTTAAAACATCCTTTTTCAATTACTTCCAATGTAAAATTTACTGATATTTGGTTAAATATCGGCAGTAGTACGCGAGGATAATTCAACTTTGTTGATGCTACCGCACTGCTTAGAGCCACTATGGCAAAGAGTACCCAAAAGACTTTGCACGCCATTTGAGCACAATTTGTTAGAAGAAAACTTTTAACTTTTTGTTGATGTTGATTTATTGAAACGTTTTTGTTTAATTACAAGGAAATAATGTAAATAATAGTGTTGTTTATAAAACCGCGAGGTATTTTGCAGGAAATACTGTACAAGTTCTCCGTATAATTTGTCGCTTAAATTGAATGAAAATAAACCGGCACAGTGTTGCAAAAAGTTAAAAACCCAATAGGAATTTCGAATTAATTTGCACACCAATTTTAGACTTCTCTGATATTACACGGCGCTTACAATATTTAGACATTTGTAACAGTTTAAGGGAAAGTACTACCATATTCAGACCGACACTTAATCACACGATTTCGGCTGTTGAATGGATTATCCCACTAATCTTAACAATTTATCACGATTTCGCCATACAAAAATGACAGTTCCAAATTTCCACTTCATTGAAATGATTTGAAACTGTTCCACGCTAAACCTCTTTGTGCGACTCTGCTTTTGCGCAATCTACTTGTCAGCACTGGAAATCTGTTACATTATCACAGCTGATTTAGACACTACAAAAGGGAAAAAGGTAAACAAACAAATTTTTTTAWAGCAATGAATCTAATTTCACCAGAAAATCGACTTAACAAATGAGAAAATGCATCCATTATTTCTATTATATGGAAAATATTTAAAAARGGCGGCTTTTATTTCAAAATACTATATGACAATCTTTTCTTWTGATAAATATTAAGCGATGTGAATTCTTGAATGACAATAACWGCTGTTTTTTGATCTTTCTAACGGCAGTGAGAACACTGTTGGGTTACGAAATGCTTAAATGTAAYCTAATCTTTTAAATTTTCGGTCTGAACATGGTATAAATTCCAAAAAGTTGAATTTCTGCCACACATATGTAAGAGTTTTCAATAGTCGAAAACATTTCTCACTTTTTTTCAGTGTATGTCGATCAGCTGTTGTACGATAATATTTTGGTAGTTGTATATTGAAGAAGTATGGCAGCATTGTTGAYATTTCTGTTTGCTGGTTTGTCAGCTGTCGATGTGTGAAATTTTCGTTTTAGAATTTCTTAATTAAATTAAACAAGAAATTCGTGAAAAATGAGTGATAGTGAGTCGGACAGCAACGCAAAACAAGCGAAATGCAGTGGWGCAAAATTTAAACTAAAAAAGTTTGGCGAAATTGAAAAACTAGAGTCCGGCGAACTATGCGCCTACATATCTGAGCTGCATGAACTGCTCATAAAAAAAGACAATAAAATAAAAAAGTACAAAGACAAATATAAAGAAATCGTAAGTATACATTGTAGACAAATATTTTAGGTTCGTAACTTTTATTTATTTGACAGTTGAGACAATTAAACAACGAGAAAGAAAATAGCAACTCCGATAAACCCATTAATTCCTCAAGTATTGAGACTAATTCCCCCGCCCCCATAGATGAAAAACGAGCCGTAGGTAAGCGATTTAAACATGTATTTCTTTAAATAAAAATTTTATATAACAAATATTTTTGCGGTAAAAATATTTTTTAATTTTTGGCCGCCACTGCTGCCACTAGTGCTGCACCACGTCCGGAACCATCTTCTGAGAGCATAAGTTCAAAATTTATTTTCGGATTTACCAATTTTTGCATTGCTTCGCGCAGATAAGAGTCGAAGTGCGGATGAAGTCGGTAAACGGAACCGTCTACACCGACCACGACATGTGGCTCAGCTATTTTATTTATTAAACCACTTATACCCACAGCCACCAATTGGGCAGCGCGTTTCGAAATGCATTCACAGATATTTTTTAGCTTCTGACAGTCTTCCACTGAKACATTCTCCAAGCCAAGCAACKCTTTGAGTATGTTRCGGGTTTGGTGGAATGCGGGAAAAGTGTCGCTTTCAATTTCTGAAATAAACCGYGTTTCAACACAGCCTGMRTTGTCTTTGAGTATATTTGTCAAACGTTGCTTTGCACCGCTTCGCACAAAAATTAAATTCTGAGTTATTGCATCGGCCAACACCAAGCGCACCAACTCGCCCAAATACATGCCTGAAAAGTTGAAAATAATTASAATTGATTTGATAACTAAAAACTTTCCGTTCAGCTGCATTAATAATTGTGAAAAAGTGCTGTATCATTAAATTATTACAATATGCAACACATAATTAGCTGGCACACACATTCACCTGATATCATTTTTTCAAACAGCTGACCGCCACGATTTAACGAATCCTTATCAACTTTACGATCATAATCTGTGCGCACAAATTCTAGTTTTCCGCTTTCGCCAAATGCACCCCATTCCGTATTCACCAATATATTCGGCTTATCAACTTTATATTCAGGTTCCAATAAATCGGCATTTTCCACACGTTCCACATAGCATGCATTACAGCCCGTACCGATAATAACACCAATGCGACATTCCGGATTGCGATGCGCGCACGACATTAGTGTGCCAGTGGTATCGTTTAATAGAGCCATGACATCGATTTCCAAATCACCCCGCCGAGCAATTGCTTCCTTTAATAAACGCCCCACATCCTCTTGCTCCACACCATCACATCGAAAACCTTTTGTCCAACGCGTTAACAGCGCTTCGGTCAAGCCCACTTGTACGCATGGAAAGGAAAATGTAAAACCTAACGGCAAATGCTGATCATTCAATGCGTGCTCATCCACAAATTCTGCCAAACAATTAGCAATGTGATCGAAAAGTTTGGTGCCGTGTCCGGTCATCAGTTCCTTATCTACGACATATACTTTCGAATCAATCTGCGCCTCATGATGCCCCTGCAGTGAGACGCGCAAAACGCGGAAATTAGTGCCACCCAAATCGAGCGCTAAATAATTGCCCATCTCATCACCAGTTGGCAAATCTTGCACATACGTCATATAACACTTTATATCCGCTTGTTGGTGCGTGGCCAGCGTTAGCCCCTTCTGTATTTCACTGGTAAAACGCTTGTACAATTCTTGTAGCTGTGAGTCACTGATGATGAACTCTTTGAGAAAATCCTTTAATCGTTGATCCTGCATTCTCGCTGTTGGTTGTTGTTTTTAGTTTGTTTGTAGCGTTTATTTTGTACTYTAAGAGCGCGCGTTTGAGCCAACTTGCACGGTAGGCGATCGCGTATATTATGAATGGTCGCTTAAAAGCCTAAAACTGCCTGCATATGCCCACTRAATGGACATGTATGYATGTATRTATGTASTTAGTTTGTGCAAAAAAGTTCTGTTTTAAGACTTTACACAAATCTACTTGATAAGAAATCAACTTTTATTACATGCGAGTATTTGAAAATCTGTTTTCTAACGCACAGTGGCCACTTTTCGCTCTAACGAAGCACAAAAATAATTGTGAACAAAAAAATAAAAWWAAAARKTTYCYTWRRAGCACTTAATTTTGAGCATTCAGTTTGTGCAGCCGCTATATGTTATAGTGGCTCGATCTGAACAAYTTCTTCAGATATTGTGCCACTGTTTTGGAAAGTAATGCATGCCAAATTTCATGAACATATCTTTTTAAATAAAAATGATGATGATTTTGTGCGTTTATTTTGTACTGTTATACTGTGCTGTAGTGGTCCGTTCTGAAATTTTTTGTCGGTTATAGTGACATTGCTTGTGATAAAAATATATGCGAAATTYCGTGAAGATATCTTGTCAAATAAAAACCGTTGTCCTTACAAGGACATGCTTTTGATAGTTCAGTTTGTATGGCAGCTATACGTTATAGTGGTCCGATTCTAAAAATTTGTTCGCATGTTATAGCGTTGCCTTGGAAAATAATTTRTGCCGAATTTCGTGAATTTATCTTGTCAAATAAAAAATTCTTCCATACAAGAACTTAATTTTGATATTTCAGTTTGTATGACAGATATATGCCATAGTTGTCCGAYTTCGCTGTTCCGACRAWTAAGCAGCTTCTTAARGAGAAAGGTATGTGTGCAAAATTTAAGCGCGATATCTCAAAAATTGAGGGACTGTTCAGGTTCAGGGATTTTAGCAGTTAATATTTTTATTGCYGAAAAGACTTAAAAATGTTAAAAGGACAAAAAAACATATTTTTATATTGTTAAATCAGGAAAGTGTAAACCGGTGGTTTTGAGTTTCGAATTTTATATATTTTAATCTTGCATAGACCTTGTTTCGTTTGCCATAGTCGTCATCAAAAGTGGGGTCTCTCATCCGAG